TCCTCAGTAGAGACTGTCTCCCACCTATCAGCAGAATCCGGTCATCGGCTAGGTACTTCCTATAGGGATCAGAGGGACAGACTACAGACTCAGTAGGTGGTGGGCCATCATCTGTCCTTCCACTAGCCCCCAGCCTCATCCCTCCGATAGCTTATCGTGGTTATACCTGTAGTCAGTATCTTGGGTAGTGTCTAACATGTGTGTGTGTGTGTGTGTGTGTGTATGTGAATCTCGAACCTGTGACCTACAGTATGAAACTGGAGGGAGAAACTGGAGGGCTCTACCATATGTATTACCACAGGATTCTGGAAGTGAATAGAATGACATTGTGTGAAATATGTAGACTGGGGGAGATCATCAGAGCGACCAAAGCCAACAACAGCAAGCAACCAACGTGAAGTCTAGACCAGCATACAACACCCATGGACTGGCCCCCTGGGTGGTGCGCAGGCAGTGTCTGTAATAATACCATGCGTCAGCCCAGGGGAGTATGTGTCCAGCCGTGCGTCATTCTAACGCCCTGCTGGTGTCCATGCGCGAGGCTGCAGAGTTTTGAACCCGCAACCTCATACCACAATGCGCATTTCCAACCGGTGCTCTAACCACTGAGCTACATCAACTGGACAACCTGATGGTTGTTCTAGTCCCTCTGGCCCTCGGGGATCCCATAGTGGCCAGGTCTGGTATTGTATTAACTTGTCCGTGCAACTCAAAGTAATTCAATTTGACGGGGGTCTGCACAAGCCATGGAGCATGATGTGGTTTAATAACTTTAATTCGATACAACGCGCAAAACCTTACCAGCCCTTGACATATGAAAGAAACTCCTCATAAGAGTGGAAACTTTAAGGAGGTCTCAACTGCAAATTATATCAGAAAATGGAGGGGCATGCTGGCAAAGAAGTGAAAAAACAGGGGTCTTACCAGAGTCCAGAGGGACCAGAGCAAATTCCAGAAAGTGGGCAGTCTCTGGCTGGATCTATTTCATATTAACCTCTGTTTCTCCATCTTCAAGTTGTCATGACATTCACAGGATGGCAGCATTAATGCATATTAAGCTAGCTGTGCTGATTGACAGAACGGCGGGGACCACGGTATCTTCCTTGCCAGGGTGATCCCAGAACCAATCTCCCTTTACTTTCTCCAACCACACAAACCGCAGTAAGATCTTGCAAGTCTGGCAAAGCATGCCGGATTGCTGTGGCTGATAATGCATAATGCAGTTCCCACAGCAGAGATGCTCTATCCGAGTCGCAGATGGAAAAAAGGACTACCTTTCTGCGCAGATGGAAAAAAGGACTACCTTTCTGCGCCGCGTCACCCCGCGTGGCCAGCAGGATACGTTGTGGAAGACCAATACCATATTATTTGGGTAATTATAGCCGTATTTGGTGCACTTTTCAGTCCAGATAGGAGCACTTTTCAGTCCAGATAGGAGCTATATAATAACCGGGCGCCCTTCTGTCCACTTAGATTGGGAAAAAAAAGGGCCCTGAGACAGATAATAATATACTTAGAATGGGGAAAAAAAGAAGTTACTGTAAATAAAGCAGCAGGATGTATATAGCCGGGTTCCGCGGTCTGCTGGACCAGGTTCAGAAAACATTGGAATTTGGACCACGTGCCCACAGTTGGTTTATCAATAGATGGCTGCACAGGGGACATGATCAAGTTTGGAGCTTTTTGGCAATAGTAGTAGGTTTTTTTTTTTTTTTTTTTTTTTTTTTTTTTTTTTTTTGTAGGGTAATTTTTTTGGCCTCAGCTGCTCTTCTGGCTGAAAAGAGCTTCATATTTGTACCAGATTCTTGTCTTTATCTTGCCTCATTTTATTATTTTTGGCCTCAGCTGCTCTTCTGGCTGAAAAGAGCTTCATATTTGTACCAGATTCTCGTCTTTATCTTGCCTCATTTTATTAGGACATTTAGGATTTCTTTTTTTTTTCAGGACTTCTTCTTTTAGGGATTTCTTTTTCAGGAACAAATTTTGTCACACTGGTCTCTGGAGATATTTTTTGTAGTTTGCTGCATTGTCATGAATTTCTTTAGTATCCAGTAAGGGGTTTTGGGTTTGCCCCTTGTCTTCAATTTGTTTTCTCTTTTTACTCCTCTTTTCTCTCTAATGAAACAGTTTTCACCTTTGGCAGTAGCCGATGCAGATCCCAGGGGTCGGTCGATCCCTTGACCTCAGCTTACCTGTGTACAGTATCTGCACAGTTCCCTGGAGTTGAACCCGTGACCTGCACGATAGCCAGTGGTAAGTAG